CGATTGCGAAGCTCAAAGTCTTCCTTTTTAACTTGGGCACGTGTTGACTATTGAATATCGAGAGCTCACCCATCTGAAACCATACCATGAAGCAGTACCGGAAGCTCACTTCTGGCAGGCCCTTAAAATGCAGCAGCTTACCCTACCCTGCCTTCTAGAGAAAGCCCTTCCCCTCTTCACCTAATGCTGGAAATAAAAGAGTATTTATTCTCAAAAAAAAAAGATTTGAAACACTAAGTACTTTTCTCTCATCCTCCCAACTTAGTGGGTTAGCAAAATTTAAAAATATCATATTCTAAAGTGATCATTTTTTCTTTTTTTATCTTTTCTGAATTTGGAACAAATTAACTCTCTTTTCAAATGAAGTCCAAATGAAAGAGGCAATTTTTTTTGAAACCCGTACTCTCATGCAATTGGGTTTGGGTTACCATAGGCAAATTTGACCATTTGCTTTAAAAAATGGGTATTTGTCTAGGTGATAAACTTCTATGCCCGACCCTCTATGTTAACCTTTCCTCTTAGAAGCATAAAATCAGGTGTCCCCGGACCTCCACTTTTAGACGAACTTGACTCTGGACGTCTCAAACCGATAGCTCCTTCTTTAGAAGTTTTTCTCTTTGCTTAGAATCATGGGACTGGGTTCAACCCTCCATAAGCGTAAGTCCCTCCTGGATTCTGGACCACGCACTCTGTGTATCTCAAACATAGGTCTTTTGCTTCCACTTTAACCCATAGAAATTGAGAAATTGGCCCCTTGTGCTGAGATATTGGTGTTACTACTGGGCCAAGGGGTATCTACCCCAGACAGGGCTCCCTGCCACAGCTCCTCCAGAACCTGGTGGTGGTAGTGGTGGTGGTTTGAGGGGTTGACCAGCTTCAACAGCAAACAGACCACAAGTCGCTGGCAGATGGAATAGGAAAGCTGTGTGACTAAGGACAAAGACAGATGCCTCTCACCTCTAGCCACTTGGGCCCCCTTTGTTAAAAGCCAGCTCCCATTGCTCTGCAGCTGGCTGTCCCAGAGACTCTCCGTCCTGAACACCGCTTAGGAAAGAAAGGGGAACGAAGATGGGTACCTGGACGTGAGCAGGCGGGGTTTCCACGCATCCGTGCATGGTGAAGGAGGGCCACCATAGTTGTGTGCCTCAGAGCTTCAGAAAGACCCTGAGCTCCTGACACTCTCCAAATATTTCTCTGCTGTCCTGCAGCAGGTAAGAGGGCGGACTGTCAAAAAGAGGCACAAGACGAGGCTGGTGATATGGGTGGGACCAGAGCTCACAAAACTCTGGTTGGAAATACCAACTGAAGACAGAGCAGTGGGGTGGGGGTTGGGGAGGAACAGATCTCTAAAACTCCTTCTCGTGAGTATATGCCTTCATTTAGTAGCTATGTGTATGTATTTAAAAACTCCTGGGCTGTGTTCCATACTTCCAAGACACTGAAAGTCACCCTCACATAGACCTGAGGCCCATTTTTTTCCATCCTCCAGGATCTCCATAATCCCCAAATTCCTGATGCACCCCCCACGTTCTCGGTTTCTATTATTTGGGACTCAATGACAAACCAGCCAGACTGCATTGTAAGCTTATGACCACCAGATGGCAGCAAAGGGTCAGTGAACAAGCATCCAGGGAGATAAGGGACCCTCTCCCTCCAACTCAAATTAACCGGGTAGTTAGTCCTCCTGGGTAGTTAGACATCCCCTGCTTTAAGAAAGTTCTCCTTTCTCCAGTGGAAGTCTTTTCGCTCTAAAATGCCACTCGCTTGGTTGTGTGGTATTCTCTTGTAGAAGGTCAACAGTGACTGTCCTGACTTGGTGACTCGGGTCTACCTCCATTGTCTCCTCCTGTGGCTTCTCCTTGCCACCCTCAGTCAGGTCTGCCTGGCGATCCAGCCCCCCTCTGTACCTATAAGGATGATATTGTTGATGGTACTACCCGAGGAAGTAGGCAGTTAATAGGAATGAAACTCTGGTCCCTCCTTCAGGGACCAAAGTTTGTTGCTTGTTGGGTTTTTGTTTTGTTTTTAAGGTACTCGGGATTGAGCCCAGGGCCTCATACAAGCTAGGCAAGCACTCTACCACTGGGCTACATCCCCACCCCTTTTTATTTTATGTTTGAGACAGGGTCTCACTAAATTTCAAAGGCTGGCCTTGAACTTGGGATCCTCCTGCCTCAGCCTCCCAATCTGGGATTACAAGGGTAAACCACCATGCCGCCCAGCTCCCGAGGTATTTCTGAGAAAGAACAAGGACAGTGCAGTGATGGAATTCTCTAGGCATCTGAAGCGCCAGGGCCCCTGTGGGCTGGAACAGTCAGGCCTGGATTCTGGAAGTAGTTGCAATGTTAGGGAACGAGACTGGATTTAAGGGGGGGAAGGAAGCTGCGAAACACAGTAAGGAACAGGGAGCCAGCTGCATGGTGCATGGAGGGGAACATGGAAAATTTGGTTTAGGGAAAAACCACTAGCCTGTGATAATGGGCCTTGAATACCAGTCTAGGATATTCCATTTCAACGAAGAGGGAGCCAGGGAAGGTTTTTGAGAAGAGGAGCGACAGGTAAAACGTTCGAGATTAATCTGGCATGATCAATGTGTAGGATGAACAGGAGCGAGATGAGTCTGAGTCAAGAATTCCAGTTAAAATGCTAGATTAAGCCAGGCACAGTGTCACATGCCTATAATCCCAGCTACTCAGGAGGCTGAGGCAGGAGGACCACAAATTTTAGGACAGCCTCAAAATTTGAAGGTGACTTACTGAGACCCCGTCACAAAATAAAAAAATAGAAAGAGCTGGGGATGTAGCCCTGTGGCAGAGTGCCACCAGCTCCAATCCCCACGATTGCAACAATATCAAAAGGTAGATTAATAAGAACACTTTCCAAAGTCCCTGGAACTCTCTGTTTCTGCCACTTGAAATGCCTTCTGTAAGCCTTTCTCTGCTCAATAGTTTCACGAGGGCTTATGGTGGTGGGTACGAGGAATGGAACTCTGTCTGAAAGCACACAGCAGAAATAGGGAACTTCACTCAGTCCCAGGCTACCAGCCCTGGACACCGACCAATGAAACTGATAATGCCACAACCTGGGGACAAGCGAGACACTTAGAAAAGCTTGGGATTTGCAGGACTGTGTTCTCAAGGGGGTATGGAATGGAGGATGCCCTCTTGCTGTTCCACCCACTGAAGGTTGAAA